GGTGGATCAGAAGTAAAAAATTCAGCCAAACAAGAGAGAGGGAGGGGAAGGGCTAACCTGTGAGGAGTGTGGGCCCCAGAACCATGTCTACGCGGGAGTCCTTTAACCCGGAAAGTTATGAATTGGATAAGAGCTTCCGGTTAACCAGATTTACTGAACTGAAGGGCACAGGCTGCAAAGTGCCCCAAGATGTCCTGCAGAAGTTACTGGAGTCTTTACAAGAGAACCACTTCCAAGAAGATGAACAGTTTCTGGGAGCTGTTATGCCAAGGCTTGGTATGTAAACCATTGTTCTTCCATACTTTACAGTCCAGTCAGTGAGGCCAAAACCAAACTTCTGCCTACCCATGTTGCCTTTTTAAAAAAAAATGTCTGTAGAATTCAAAGATCAATCCAGTGGTGACAGTTTTATATTATTATCCCTAGTTTAGAGGAAGTACTTGGAAAGCATCAAGACACGGAGTCTATAACAGTTATTAAACTGTGGAGTATGTGATTGACATCATTATAGTACAGTAAAAGCATTTTTTATGTTAAATTGAATTTTTTGGTTAGCCGAGGATTAAGCAGAAATTCTTTTATGCTTTTTTCTTAAAATGATCCCTGAAATTCATGCATCCTCTTGACAGCCCTAGGGAAGGTTATACTATAAGCATAATGTATAATACTTTGAGAGTAGTGACTGGGCCTGGGAGGAACTTGGGATCCTATACAGTAGACAAYGATTGGAAAGCTGAGAGTAGGACACACAGGACTGCTCCAGACTCAAAAGACAGGTTGAAACCCTGCTTGACCTTAGGGTGCCATCTGGAATTGAGGGCAGTAGTTTTTTTTTTTTTCCTAAATTCCTGGTGCTTATGGTTTTCCTTTTCCCAAACAGAGTTCAGAGAGACACTTTAGGGTCTGGGAAATTGTTCATTAGAGTTTTTTGTATGGTTTATTAAGTGCATGATGAAATACTTATCACTTTACCCTGTGAGTGGATTGTGTTCTGGGGGTGTGGATATTCTGTAGTTAGGGTGACTTGATCTTTCTCACATAAGATTTAATTTCATTTGTTTTGGCTCACTATTTTGTTAGAAAATTCTGTCTTACCATCTTGGTTTTGAGCTTGAGTTACTTCTTTATTCCATAATACATAAAGTTAATAAAAGGATTGCACTGGGCTTGGTGCTGTATTCCTGTGGAGGATCACAAATTCAAGACTAGCCTCACAGAGCCTCGCAAATCCCTCTCTCAAAATAAAAATATAAAGGCCTGGGGATTTGGCTCAGTGGTAGAGCCCTCCTGGGTTCAGTCCTCAGTACTGGGGTGGGTAGGGAGTTGCTTTGGTTGGGAGGGAGGAAAATTACTCCTCATCCCCTCCCCCATGGCCTACAGGACTCCCAGAAGCTCAATTTGAAAACAGTTTCTCTCCTCTAGCTGTGGAGGAATATCAACATGAATGAGTTGGATTTAATGTTGACTGACTTGTCAAGAAGTGAGAGTACACTGAGGAAGCTCTTGAAAATAGTATAGAAAAATAAGCCACTCAGTGGTCAAAACCAAATGAAATAGGGCTGGAGATGTGGCTCAGAGGTAGAGTGCTTGCTTAGCATGCAGAAGGCCCTGGGTTCAATACCCAGTACTTCAAAAAAAGGAGGGGGAAAAAAAAAAAAAAACTCCTATGGATAAAGTAAAGTAGTAGGGCTGGGGCTGTGGCTTAGTGGTAGAGCGCTCGCCCAGCATGCRTGTGGAACTGGGTTCTATCCTTAGCACCATGTGAAAATGTAATAAAGATATTGTGTGACCACCTACAACTAAAAAATAAAAACATGTTTTTTTAAAAAAAGTAAAGTAGTAATTGCTATTCATAGCATCATCCTGTTGATCTTGTTTGAGATCCTGAGCCTGCCTTCTGTCCCTGAGTGCTTTGATGGGGCCTGGTCACTGTTCTTCCAGTAATTTGTGAAGCTTGGAAAGGTGGTGCCCATTCTGTGGGTAGAGTTGGGTCAAGATCTGAATTCTACCTCTTCGTGTTGCTTGCCTTCTGGTTTCTAAAACGAGATGGGTTGGAAGTAGGGAGAGGATCTGCTTTGGCTTCAGCTTTCATCAGTGACAGAAGAAACCAATGAAAAGGCAGGAAAAAGTAGATAGAAGAACACAAAGACCATTTGTSTGGTCATATATGGTTTTTGAGAAGCAAATGAAACAATTTTCTCAGAAAAAACATATCCCCTAAATTTGCATTCATGGCAAACCCTGAAGGTATACAGATCCCCAGATGACAAGCAAATAGATGCTGAAAGAAGCAGAGTAGTAAAACCTATAGAAGTGGTGTACCTTCATGCCAGAACTTTTCCTTGGAATCAGAGTTATACTTAACCTGCTAATCTTGTACCAGTTACTAATGTTACTCAATTTCCAGTCTACAATATGAGACAACAATACTTATTGAAATAGTTGTGAATGCCAGAAATTTTCTGTTTTCTTTACCTGTGTCTGTATCCATATGTATAATATGTGTATTAGATGTGTATATGTGTGTGTATATATAGTACAGATGCATATTTATATGTGATTGTGTTTCTACTTTTAATTGAATATCATAATTCATTCTAATTGAAGAATGAATCAAAACAGCTTAAAGATGCATACACTTGGGGCTGGGGTTTTGGCTCAGTGGTAGAGCCCTTGCTTAGCATGTGTGAGGCCCTGGGTTCGATTCTCAGTACCACATATAAATAAGTAAAATAAAGGTCCATCAGTAACTTTAAAAAAAAAAAAAAGGTGCACATGTTTACTAGATGTATCCCAATTAAGGAAATGTTTGCCTAAGTGTGTGTTAGAAGCTGGTACATACTTGACATGTTGGTGGTATATGATGAGTTGGATTATTTATTTATTTTGATGGAGAGTTTTAATCTGAGAATTCCCCATCACCTGCTAATAATTCAACATAAGCTTCCCAGACTAGTGTTTTTTTCTTACTTCATGGCATTTTCCTTTGTTCATTTCCCTTTTCCTCTCTTTCAATTTGAAACCTTAGTTTTTCAAAGCCTATGGTTTTTTAAAAAATTATTTAAAGTCTGGTGTCTATTTTACACTTATATCACATCTCAATTTGGACTAGCCGTGTTTCTAGTGCTTAACAACCTCAAGTGGCTAGTGGCTACCACATGGGACAGCACTGGTCTTCATTACAGTAGTGTCACAGTTGTGAAAGGGAAAATGTGGATAATGGCAGTTTCTTTTTAGCCCAGGAACATGCTCAGAGTCATTAGCTACTCTGTTGAAAGAATTGGCTAAGTATAGAAATAAAGTGCTTTACAAATCAAATGTATTTAGTTCAGTTTGGGATGTGGAGTACTCTATAATCTGAGCTGCATCCATAGCCCTTCTTTTTTATTTAGAGACAGGATCTCACTTAGTAGCTGAGGCTRGCCTTGAACTTGTGATCTTCTGCCTCAGCGAATCACCAGGGTTATAGTCATTCTCCACCATTCCCAGTTTATTTAATACAAATTTAATATTGAGATCATTRTCAGCAATTTAACAAGGACTTAAGCAACTTAGACCCTATACAAACAGAAAAAAGGGCTGGGGATGTAGCTCAGTGGTACAGTGCCCCTGGRTTCAATCCTCAGTGTGTGTGTAACATTCAACAACTATCTCTTTCAGTAGTCTTGTAGTTTAAATAGAAACGTAGAGGAAACTATTTCACTGTTTTCCAAAGTGAATAATAGTACACTCAGAACAGCCTGTTGTTAGAATTGTTATTTAGGGAGAWAGTTGCAGTTCTTGCTGAGTGCATTTACCTGCGAAAGAGCACTGTTGGGTGAAATTTGTGTCTGTGCATGTGTGCCATTGAGGTGAATTTTCATACTTTGTTACCGAATTGATACAAACTGAGCACAAGTCAGGTGTACTATTGTCTCCAGTTTGTGAGACTTGCCATTCTGAAATTATATTCTCCATTCCTTACTTATCTCTTTAAAAATTTCTATTTTGCCATCAGGTATAGTAAAATATAGTAAAAAGCCTGTTTTCACAGTATGGCTTTTTTTTAAAGGTTAATTTTATTTTTGCTTTAGTTATAGTGGACCAACTCTAGAAAAGAGAAAGGGTAGCAGCAATCAAATGCTATTGGATCTGTTGCTGTCATGATATGAGATGGTTTAAAACAGTTTTGCTGCTGTAAAATATGAAAAGTCCTTTCAATGAGATTGAGATATGATTTTATTTCATTTGGAATTCCACATTTATAGGGTAGACTCTATCTTCTTATTTTTGTACTTCATCCTGATTTTTTTTTCCTGACTTTGGCTATTGGACTGCCAAAGTGAAATATTTCCTAAGAGCATGGAAGGGCATCCTTTTGAGATGGGTGGTATAGGAAAACACTCTGTATTCAGCTTATTTGGGAATGCCAGTCTGAATTTGTAAAATGTGTACATTACAGGTAATTTTCAGATTAATGTAGACTACTGTAGTGGCATCAAAACTATTTTCAGAAAAAGGGAATTCTTTTTAATTAGCCCATTGGTGGTCCCTACTACCTTTCTAAATATTGAGGAATAATTTTTAATAACCTGAAGTATTGCTCATAYCCATACTGAGTAATTTGGGTGGGGGGGCAATGCTGGAGATTGAATCCAGAGCCCAAGTACTCTACCACTGAGCTAAGCCTCCCATATAGCTGGGATTATAGGCGTAAGTCACAATGCCCCACTGAGAAATTTTCTTTACAGTGGACAGAAAGTTTATATTGTAAGCTAGTACATGTGATGATTTTAAGTTTTTCAGAAAGGGACTAACATGGAATTTTAAGRTCTTTTAAAAATTGCTTTTGGGAACCTATAAAATGAATTATATAGATGTTAGTAGAAAATTTTGAATTTTTATTCTGGCTTTGTTCTTTYTCATTTTCATTTTTCATTAAAATAAAAAAGTAATGGTAGCATTTTCTGTATGTGAAATACATAAATACCCCACTGGAAAAATAGAATAATATCTAAAAATATACTCAGTATTTATAGATAAAAAACCACAAATTCATATGTACTATTTTCATCTTTAAATAATTCCTGAATGGTACCCGTAATATGATATAGTAATGCAATAAAAATACAGAAATAAAAAGAATTTTTATTCAAACATTAAGGATTAAAAATCATCCCATATTGAAATTGGGTTTTGATGACTAACTTTTTTATTCATATTTTCTTTCTTAATCTAGTTAAGTTTCATGTTATGGTTCTTGATAGGAAACACATGGCCTCATTTGCAATGCAGAATTKCCATAAGTATTTTATACAGAAATCTTCTTGTTCATAATGTTGATCATATGAAATAAAACGACTTTCCCCTTTTATTTTTGGATGCTGATGACTTCCATCTTCCCAGGCATTGGAATGGATACTTGCGTCATTCCTTTGAGGCATGGTGGTCTTTCCTTGGTTCAAACCACAGATTACATTTATCCTATCGTAGATGACCCTTACATGATGGTAAGTTTAACCTAATGTGTCTTTATCATTGGAATTACATATGCATTTGGTTTGTGGTTGTAGCTGTAGTTTTGTCTGTCTGTGATTTGGGGGTTTTTGTTCTTGCTATATCCAAAGTACACTACCCATCCCTGCTGTGACTCCTGTAGTCAAAGCAGTTGGGCCCATTCTGTGCTCATGCTTGGCACTGTCATAAAGTAAGTAGAACAGGGAAGTCCCTCTCTTGCTTTTGTACCTGAGTGTATGTTTGTGCATAAGAACACCTATTGTTTTAGTCGTTTTCTTATATTCTGTTTCTTTGACATTCATTTTTTTTTTTTTTAAAGAGAGAGTGAGAGAGAGAGGGGGACAGAGAGAGAGAGAGAGAATTTTTAATATTTATTTTCTAGTTCTCGGCGGACACAACATCTTTGTTGTTATGTGGTGCTGAGGATCGAACCCGGGCCGCACGCATGCCAGGCGAGTGCGCTACCGCCTGAGCCACATCCCCAGCCCCTCTTTGACATTCATAAACCTCACCATTCCTATGTTACTGAACTCTGTCTCAAAGGTTTCCTTCCAGAAATAAAGGAGCTTAGTGTCTCATTGTAATTTGACTTCTTGAACATTTATTCTGATAAACGTCAGCATTGGTTACTTCCCATCAGTCATCTGCATACCTACCCACTACAGTGTTTATGACACTATGTATGACATATATCTGATCATTGAATTGAAGTTCCTAGCTACTGATCACGTATCAACAGATATATTTTCCATTTTTCTATKGCATGCTTATGACCACATTAACCTAGTCAGCCTTTAACCCTWCTTCCCTACCAACCAAGAGAGGCCAATCAAGACATGGGGATATCCCACTTATTATAAAATGCCAGATGTCCTTCCTATATGGTGAGGACATTGGGATTAATCTGCATAAGAGGAATTTAGACTGTGAGGTAGCAAAATAATGGGTATTCACTGCTAGGATTCCTGTAACAAGTAAACAGGTTATTAGGAACCAGTGTTCTTTCTGCACCTCCATCTGTTCCCTCCTCTAGTCCAAAACTCCTGAGAGACTGGGCAGGTGAGCCACACCCATGTGTCCCACCTGAGCAGGAGGCAGAGAGGTTAAAGCCAGAATTTATTCTCTTTATACCATCTCTTAAAAGCATTTGTGAGGGGCTGGGGTTGTGGCTCAGCGGTAGAGCGCTTGCTCACCTAGCACGTGCAAGGCACTGGATTCAATCCTCAGCACCACATAAAAGTAAATAAATAAATARAATAAAGATATTGTGTCCAACCACAACTAAAAAATATTTTTAAAAAAGCATTTGTGAGTTCCCAGTAAGTCACTACCACTCGGACCAGTGATTGGTGTCTCCAAGTTGTATACTACCTGTTGGCCTGATGTTAGTGGATCTGCAGAAGGTTGTTAATCTACCAGGAATTTATAAGAAAATATAAAACAATTAAACAGCCATTGAAACTGATAATACTACCTTAGAGTTTGATTATCTTTTTATGAGTGGAAAAACTTCATTTTCTCGTTATTGTCTGAAAAAAGAGTATATAATAGCAGCTTACATTTTAAAAATCCCCAATGGCAGTTAAAAAAAAAACCTTTATTGTTACATTCCTATTAAACAATTTCAAGTTCCTAATAAAGCAGTATAGTTTACTGGGAAATACTTCTTTAGAAAAAAGTCTTAYTTTAGGCCTGTATATTTCTTATTTCTTCTATTTTTTTTTTGTTTGTTTCTCAAACAAGATGGTTTTCCTGTTTATTTCTTATAGTCTTGAGGCTACAAAAATTTTTCAATCCAAGTACATAAAAACCATCTTCTTTTCTTTTCATAACCAGTAATGTCAACATTTTTGTAGAATCTGTTTAATTAAGATAAGTGGATGTTTCCAAGTTTGCCTTAGTGTCATTGTTTTCAGAGTCTTTCACTCCCTGACTCTCCTAGACTATTGGTTCTAATTTTTGTCTTCCTGACATCCCCCCACACCCTCCTATATCTAGATAAATCAGGCTTCTGATATTCAGGATGATGATATTGGGGGGGAAAAACAAAAAAAGAACATGTAAATCTTTATTCTACACAGAAAGGGAATGTGTTATCAGGAATGTCTGAGAAAGACATACCAAAAGAAAGGTAACTAGTTTGCAAATCTAGAAGTTGAGGACCACATCCTGGTAATTGCTCTTCCTGGAGAGTCTCTGAGTTTTCCTTGGAGGCCAAACCATAGGCTTGGTCTTCATTTCTGCAGTTGGGAAACTCCCTGTTTGTGCTTCTCACATCTCCCCTCTCTTCCCAGGGCAGGATAGCATGTGCCAATGTCCTCAGTGACCTCTATGCAATGGGGGTTACAGAATGTGACAATATGCTGATGCTCCTTGGAGTCAGTAATAAAATGACCGACAGGGTAAGTAGGAGGTCCCTCTGTGTCTGCTTRCTGGTCTTTGTGGTCTTAGTTGTGAGACTTTTCTGACTTGTTTCCCATCTGGAAAGTGAGGAGGYCATGTGGCTTCCAATAGCCCTTCCAGCTCTCTAATTTGGGGTGGTTAGCAGTAAATTAAAATGAGAGCATCTGGATTATTTATCTTTTTATTTCTACCACCCTGCTATCTCCTTCTCTTCCAGGTAGATTGAAACTTAGAAGTTTTATGTATGTGTGTTTTAATAAAGTATAGGCCATAGTAATAGTACCTAAGTGCCAGACTTGTGGGATCAGGCACTGCCTTATATATAGGTCCAGGACTCTTGATACTTAGAGGGTCGGTAACCTTGTGTTGGTGGCAAGATGTCACTGAAGACACTTCTGTGTAATTTCCTGGAGATACTTTGTCTTTGGTACTTGTTCCTTGAACCAGAAATGAATTCCTCTTGGCTACTTTTGACAGATACTTGGTTTTATTGACTCTCCACMCCTGTATTCCCCCCAAATCAGCTTGCCTTACTTTACGGAAATCTTGCGTTTTTAGTAGGCCCTCTTTTCTACCCTAGCAATGTGTGCTTTGATCTGTTATATGTAGTGGTGTCAGCAAGGGCCTTGTTGTGTGCATTCCCATCTTGGCCCTCACCAGTCTTCACACTCTTTGGTAAATGTAAGCCTCCCCAAAGGTAAGGTGAATATGCAGAGGGAGCTAGGTTGGTTTTTGTTTTGTTTTGCAGTGTTGGGGATTGAACCCAGGCACTCTGCCACTGAGCTACATCCCCAGGCCTTTTAATTTTTTATTTTGAGAGAGRGTCTGATGGTCATCAGACTTGGAGCCCAGCCTGTGGACCAGTCCCATACATCTCTCCTCCTCTCTTGACTAAGTTCTCTTAGCATTGTAGCCCATAACAATTTCCAGCATTTGATAAAAACGGTTACAATGTGAAATACTTCCTATTTTTGTTACACCCTGCCTTATTGTTAGTTTTCAGGATTTAGGATCCTGTGATTCTTTTTATAAGTATAGAAGCTCTTTTCTGAGTTGAAGAGAATTGACTTTTCTTTTTTGTCCTTTTAAACCCTAGGAAAGGGATAAAGTGATGCCCCTAATTATACAGGGTTTTAAAGATGCAGCTGAGGAAGCAGGAACATCTGTAACCGGTGGCCAAACAGTATTAAACCCCTGGATTGTTCTGGGAGGAGTTGCTACAACTGTCTGCCAGCCCAATGAATTTATCATGTAAGTTGATTATCATGTAAGTTGATTTTTGTTTCATGCCACCTGATCTGTTTCACTGTTATATAAATCATTCACATACCATATAGTTCACCCCAAAAGTATTCAATTAGGTGGGTTTGTGTCTATAAAGTACAGCCATCACCAGTCAATTGTAGAAAATTTTTATCATCCCAACAAGAAGCCCCTTGGTTGTCAGTCCCCATTTCTATCCCTTCTTGGCTTATTTTACTTCRTATAATTAACATATTTTAAAGTCTATCCATTTTGTAGCAAGTAGTACTTCTTTGATCCTGTTTTTGAACATTTTCTATATTTAAATTGAATTATAATTCACATAACAAAATGTCAGATGATTCATCATTCTAATGTATATAATTCATTGATTTTTGTGAGGATGGGGTTATATAATCATCATTACTATCCAATTCCAGAAGCAACCCTATACATATTAGCAATCCCTTCCAGTTCCCTCCTCCCTACCATCCTCTGGCAAACTCTCTACTTTTTGTCTATAGGGATTTAAGTGTTTTGAACATTTTATATGGAATCATGCAGTGTATGACATTTTGTATCTGGCTTCATTCACTCATTGTAATGTTTCCAAGTTGTAGCATAGGGGTGGAGATATTGCTCAGTTGGTAGCATGCTTGCCTCCCATGCGCAAGGCCCTGGATTCGATTCCCCAGCACACCCAAAAAAAAAAAAAAAAAAGTTGTAGCATAAATCCTTACTATCTACTTTTTTATGGCTGAGTAACCCATCATTTGGACACACATGTTTTATTACCCATTTATTGGTTGGTGGACCTTTGGGTTATTATCTGTTGTGAATGATGCTATAAATACTCATGCAGGTTTTTTGGTTGGACATAAGTCTCTCCACATCCCTTCTAAAATCTGTTTATTGTTTCTTTTTGATTATAGCCATCCTACTGTGTGTGAAGTAGTAGCYCGTTGTGCTTTTAATTTGCATTTCTTAATCAAAGTATCTTTTCATATGTTTTTTGGTCCTTTCTCTATATTCTTTGGAAATGTAACTCAACACAGGTTGTCACTTTCCGTATTTAATGTCTTGTTAAGAAAAGCCACTCTGCCCTGTTTTTGAAGGCACTGTAAACTCTATTTCTTTCTTTCTTGAATAGGTACTGATAGGGACTGTGTTGAGCAGGTTCAGAATTCAAAAAGGTATGAAAAGAATCCACAGTGCAAATGGTTTCACCTATGGCTAGATCACCAGATTGATTCCTGCCTGCAAGGCATCCTTTTTATTAGTCTTGTATATTGTTAAACCAATCTGCTGTTGACACTTAGATGATATTCAGTCATTTTGACATTGYAAATAATACTCTAGTGAGGGGCCTTAGAGATAACAGATCATTTTACTCAGGGGAATCTACTGAAAAAAAATTTCTCAGTGGAATCACCAGAGCAGGGTGACATGTGCTGATGATTCTGATATCTCCATTTAGCTTGCCCTTCATAGATGTTCTACTGGTTTATGCTCCATAGCAGTGAATTTAGTGGATCAGTTTCCCCACATCCTGAAAACTCAGTGGGGTTAACAAACTTGATCTTCACTGATCTGCTTGGTGGGTTTTGGTTTTTTTTTAATATTTATTTATTTTTTTTAGTTTTTGGCAGACACAACATTTTTATTTGTATGTAGTGCTGAGGATCGAACCCAGCGCCATGCGCATGCCAGGCAAGCATGCTACCGCTTGAGCCACATCCCTAGCCTAATCTGCTTAGTGGTTTTAACCATATTCTTTTTTTTTTTTTTTTTTTTTTTTTGATACTGGGGATTTAACACAGGAGTGCTTTACTACTATATCCCCGGACCTTTTGATTTTTTTTTCTTTTGAGACAGGGTCTAAGTTGCTTAGGACCTCGCTAAATTGCTGAGACTGGACTTGAACTTGCGATCCTCCTGTCTTAGTTTCCTGAGTCACTGGGATTACAGACATGTGCCACTATACCCAGTTAACCTTATTCTTATAAGTGAACATTTTTCACAATAAGATCTTTTGCCCATTTTTTTTAAATTGATGGAAGCTCCTTGTTATTTTTACTATCAGATAGCTTCTGCGTTAAGGATCGTGCATTTTGTATACCACCAATGCTTTATTTTCCCAACATATAGCATATGTTAGTAGTTTTCAGGCTTTCCACTTAGATAAAAGGATCTTTATCTCACCCATTTCAGCTTTTTTGTAAAGAATTGAATGGGGAGAAAAATTAACGAGTATTTTGCCAATAGCATATATATTTACTTTTTAAAAAAAGCTGAAAGAACTTGAACATATGATTACATTCTGTCATATTGCCCATAAACTTGAAAATAACTCCATAGTTTATTACACTTGATATAAATTTGTTGCTTGCACATAACTGTTAAAGTGTAATAATTTACTAGCCTCAGGTATGAGTGGACCAGAATTGAAGGATCCTTTTTCTGAAGGTCTAGTGTTTGGGAGATGAGATTCCTGTAMAATTTCCAAGTTTTATATTGCTCAAAATTGACAATGAATACAAATCTTATAGGTTGATTTAGGGAGTGTGGTATGCATTCTGAAGTCTTTGCCCTAACTTGCTTTTATATCATTTTAGTAGTTCCAGTGATGTGGACAGCTCCTTGAGCTGAGACAAGAAAGGTCTGAGTGGTGGATGCACATCCTGGTAGTGAGGATACAAATATAATAGTTGTTTTCTTTGGAGGATGTCTTTTCCTTTTCAGGGCTGCCCTTTTAGAATTTGCTTTCTTTCTTTAAAGCAGGGTCTACCCTGACCCTTGAGTGCCAAATAGGAAACTTATTATTGGTCACTGAGTTTGGGAAGCTGGTTGCAGAAATCACCAAACACCAGACTCAAATTCCAGCAAAATMCCATAATCTAAAAAATTCTACCTGAGTCTCTACCATATAAGTGATCACGAAAGCCATCTTTGAGAAGTCTTGTTGCCTCAAATAATTTGGAACTCTGGTACATCTGTGAATTACACCCACTCATATATGRCTAAGGGAAAACGGCCTGATGGGAACTTGGAAGACTAAATGATTTGCTTCTTTGCATACTGTGTGTGTATGTTACTGGGATCAAACCCAGGAGTGTTCCACCTCTGAACTGTATCCCTAGCCCTTTTTGTTTTAATATTATTTTGAGACAGGGTCTTAACTAAGTTACCCAGATTGGCCTCAAACTTCCAATCCTTCTGCCTTAGCCTCTCAGCCCCTGGGATTACAGGTGTGTGGGACTGTGCCCGTTACATTTTTTTTTTTTTTTAATCTATAGATAATTGACCAATGTGTTTAAGTCTGTGGATGTTTTCATTTTCCTTTTAATATTTTGTTGCAGTAATAGCTTCAGTAGGAGGTTGTAAGGCCATGTCACCTAGTACATGGTAACAGTTGGCTTAAATTTAAGTAAGTCCAAAAGCAAGTACTTTTTTTTTTTTTTTTTAAACAGAATTTTCCTTCTCCTGTTTTAATGAGTTGATCTCCTTGGTTAGTTTTACAAGAATGTGCTATTTTTCTTTTCTTCAGGCCAGATAATGCAGTACCAGGGGATGTGCTTGTGTTGACAAAACCTCTGGGGACACAAGTTGCTGTCGCTGTGCATCAGTGGCTGGATATTGTGAGTAAACTGCTGCTTGTGTGTGATGGGGACGGGAGCACAATAATTAGTTTTCAGAGTTGTAGTGATTTTTATAGGAGGGTTTAGAAAATGAAACTTTTAGTTTTCAGTACCATGGAATTTAATTTCATCAATCAGGTCCTTAAAAGATATCCTCAGAATTGCCCATATTCTTGTATCAATTGAAAGTTTCAAGTAGCTTTTGAAGTAAGTAACCCCAGCTTAGGGCTTCAGAGGTTTTCTATAAAGAATTTGGGAGGCCAGGGATTAGCATCATGTATTTTTGGTTTGATTTTCACATCTTAAACATTAAAAAGTAATACGGGGCTGGGGGCGTAGTTCAGTGGTAGATTTCTTGTTGGCATGTGTGAGGCATTGGGCTTAGTCCCAGCATAACCAAATGATTATGATGATGATAGTAAAAACACTGTGGGGAGAATTTGTGGAAAGTTGTATTTGGGGTATAAATAAGGCCAGTTAGGGACAAACTTTTAGTCTTGGGGGTTGAGTTTTTGTTTGGTAATTGTCTTTTAAATTGTTTAGTAATTAAGAACATTTTTTAAAAATATTTTTTTAGTTGTAGGTAGACACRGTACGTTYATTTTATTTATTTTTATGTGGTGCTGAGGATCAAACCCAATGCCTCACACATGCTAAACAAGCACTCCAGCACTGAGCCACAACCCCAGCCCTAGTAATTATGAACATTTTGATGTGTAATTCTCTCATGGAGAATGCATCTAGAATAGAAAGGTATTTCTCCTAAGCATTTTCCCACTGAACTATAATCATACCTGAATTTGTTTTTTSTCTTCCATAACAACTCAGAAATTAATAAGATTGTRGTATATTCTCTCATTCATAAACCTMGGGTATATATCYTATTTGTAACAGATGTAGCAGAGTAAGAGATWCTCTAAGTTTGCACCTTCTCAGTTATTTTTTCCCTCCTCACCCAGGGATGTAAACTAGATAGGAAGGGCATTGCAGGGGGTACTTCACAGATGCTAGCGAGGAGGACAACCTCCCAGGACTACACAGTTGAGCAAGGGAGCTGGAAGCAGGCAAGGCAAGGGGGTTGGTATCTCCACCTGAGGTCAACATTACCTTTGCTTTTTTTTAAACCAGTTTTTTTAAATGCTCAGAATTGAAGAAAGCAAGTACCAAAGACACATCAACAGCACAATATGCTTTTTTTTTTAATGTTATTGTATTTTTATACCTTCATTTTATTTATTTTTATGTGGTACTGAGGATCAAACCTAATGCTTCACATGTGTTAGGCAAGTGTTCTATCATTGAGCCACAATCACAGCCCTACTATATGCTTTTTATGAAGAACAGAAACAACCAAAGAGTGTGCTGTTTAGGCATTATGAGAATACTATTTTTTGAATGTTAAGAAAGTACAAAATCCAGGATAATTGCTACTTCTTGGGAGAGATGGAACAATGGAGTGAGGGTATATAGGAGATACTGCTGATGTTTAGTTATTACACTGGGTGGTAGGTTACTGGGTTTTCTTTATTCTGTAATAAAACAAATAAGTAGATGCATAAATGGGGGTAGTTAATGGGCCATATGACAGTATGTCATGAACCCAGCATCATAGTGCTGGATTCTTCAAAAATTYGGCTGAGGGTAATAAAGGCAGACCTCTTTGTCCTCAGTATGATGTTCTTTTATTACCCATGACTGACCTGAGTGTGCATGCACTTAAAGTTGTTTCCAGTTCTTCTCTTCATTAAGATAGCTTCACTCCTAGGCAGAGGCATGTGCCCATAATCCCAGGATGCTGAGAGGGCAGGATTGCAAACTCAAGGCCAGTTTGGGCAACATAGTGAGACCCAGTCTCCAAAAGAAAAGCTTTACTCCAGGCTTCAATTAAAATCAATAAAAATATAATTATAATATGAAAAATGAAAGCTGTGGACATAGTAGGAGAGATAAGAGGAGAACCAGAGGACATTCAAAGCTATTGATAATGTGATTTACACCCTCCCAAAGAGGAGCAAGCTTCAGCCTGTGCTCACACACCTGTTGCCATGTTAGTGTAGCTGTGTGTATTGCCAGGTTTACATAGCCAATAAGATGCAATATTGGTTACAGAAATGTAGAATGAGAACAGAAAAGAAATCATGACGATGGGACTGATGGACACTTAATATTTGGTATAAAGTTAGATAAATAAAACTCAGAAGATGACTAAGCAAAAAGGTGTTCTTTGTGTCAGTGGTAAGAAGTAAAGATTAATCATATTTTCCCCCTCTTTTCTCCTTGACTTATGTTTCTGTTGTTAGCCTGAAAAATGGAATAAAATTAAGCTAGTAGTCACCCAAGAAGACGTAGAGTTGGCATACCAAGAAGCAATGATGAATATGGCACGGCTCAACAGGACAGGTATGGGCAGGGAAGGGTTCTATGGTAGGGTTGGCAGACATTCTGAGAAGGCCAAGGTAGTAGATATTTTAGGCTTTGAAGGCCACATAGAGTCTCAGTTGCTCATTGATTTCCCCTACCACATACATGCACACAGCTTTTTAACACAAAAGAAAACCCACTTGTGGCTGGCCAGATGTGATTGTTGACTATAGGCCATCTTCTCTTGGTACCTGATTTGGCTTATGTGAATTTACTCATGGAAATCCAAACAYAGGTCCCCTACTAATGATGATTTCACTTAAAAATTTTCATCTTTACAATGGTGTTAGAGTGAGAAATATTCAGCAGAAACCACAATTTGAATTTTGAATAATCGGTCTTTTCTGGTGCCGGAGATAGGCAATATGATTGAAATGCTACGTGGCAGCCTTGGCTCCTAATCAGCTATTTTGTCACAAAGGTAAACAGCCAATATTCTATAGTCTACTGTATTGCCAACCTATGCTGTTTGGTAGATTGTGTGTATTAAATGCTTTTTCAACTTAAGATGTTTTCAGGGTACAATGGATTATTGCACAACCCCATCAGCAGTCAAGGAGTGTTCTGTACATTGGATGGGTTGTCTGATTTCTTGGTATTTTCCCTTTTATTTTTAAACTTTCCCAAAATGATATTGATCCAAATATATGTAATACTTAAGTCATGAATTCTTTGGGTWTTTGTTTGTTTGTTTGTATTTGTTCTTGTTTGAATGAAATGTTGGGGATTAAAACCAGGAGTACTTTATCACTGAGCTACATCCCCACCCCTTTTTATTTTTTATTTTGAGAAGGGGTCTTGCTAAGTTGCTTAGGGGCTCAGCTTCCTGAGTTGCTGGAGTTGATATGTATACACCACTTTGCCCAGCAAAAAATTCTGTGTGTGGTACTGGGGGTTGAACCCAGGGCCTTGCTCATGCTAGGCAAGCACTTTACTATTGAGCTACATCCTCCAGCCTGACCAGAAATTTTTTTTTTTAAATTTTTATGGTTGGACACAGTACCTTTATTTTATTTATTTTTATGTGGTGCTGAGGATCGAACCCAGGGCCTTGAACATGCTAGGCTAGTGCTCTATTGCTGAGCCACAATCCCAGCCCCATGACCAGGATATTTTTAAAAATTTCTTTTTTTTTAACTGTATTATTAAAAAATAATTTTAAAAAAGTTTTTTTTATCATTTTAGTTATATATAATATTGGCTTTCATTTTGACAAAATTAAACAGACACAGAGTATAATTTGTTCCAATTTGATCTCTGTTACTTTCCATTTGTGTCTCATCCTCCTACCCTTTTATTCCCTTTTCTCTACTCTGTTTATCTTTCTTCTGTTTACTTATAGGGTTTGTTTTTTTTTTTTTTTTGGTCTTGTATTTTATTAATCTATTGTGGATATACATAAAGGTGAAATATACTGTGGCATATTCATATATGTACATAGGAAAGTTTGGTCCGGCTCATTCCATTGTTCTCCTTTTCTTGTCCCCAGGAGATCTTAAGAGATCGCATCTGACAGTCTTGATTTTGAAGTATTAAAAATATTAAAAGATTTACTTTAGCATCTGCCTTTCTAATTACTTTATAACATTCCACTGCATGGCTGCCTTATTTGATCTGCTGTCAGTGGACMTGGGCATTACTGCTAGAACTTCTTTGGTCTCAGCTTTTCTAGATAGTGCCAAATTGTTTTCCAAAGTATTATGTATCRATTTACAGTAGTGTACTATATGTAACTTTTCTTTTTAACATCTCTCTCTCCCCATTTATCCTACTATAGAAGAATTACATGTTTATTTTAGAAAAAGTATTAGAAGATGGAAAACAGTAGAAAAGAAAATTATCTGTAGTTCCACCACCCCAAAATAGCTCATTAGTATTTTTTAYTTATTCCCGCAGAACTTTTTTTGGTTTCCTGCTGTTTTTTAAACTAGTGTGAATCATAAATTATGTATCTGGAATCTGCTTTTATTCATCTAACATTTTAAGATTGTTTTTCCATATTATATATCCTCATATACATAGTTTTTTTTCTTTTAGACATACATGACAGTAGAGTGTATTTTGACATATCATGCATACATATATAGAGTATAACTCATTCTAATTAGGATCCTATTCTTGTAGTTGTACCTGATGTGAAGTTTCACTGATTGTGTATTCACATATGAACATAGGAAAGTTATGTCTGATTCATTCTACTGTCTTTCCTATTCCCATCCCCCCTTCCCTTCATTGTCCTTTGTCTAATCCAAATAACTTTTATCCCCTCTCCCCTTATTGTGTGTTAGCATC